CCCGCGAGTGCGAGAGAGACAGAGCGACATGTTGCGCCACCACGCACCGCGCCGCCGGGGCGCCGCCGCCGCAGTCCGTCTTGTCCCCTGCAGCTTCACTCCGCCGAAATTGAAACCTTTACATCCCCGCGGCGTAAAAGAACACCGACAGGAAGAGGAGAGCTCGCCCCACCCCGCCCGCCGCCCCGCCAACGCGTCCAATTTTCTCTTTTACTGTTGTCCCGGCCTGGGGGCCTGGGGCTGGATCCACGTGAGGTGATCCGGGCGCAAAGTTCATCTACTTCATCTCCTCGGAGGACAGCGTCACAATGGAGGGTCGCCGTTGTGCGCGAGACCGCAGAGCATCGGGGCGAGAAAAAAGAAACAAAGCAATAAATAAAAAACACAAGCGGCAAAAAAAAGTGAAAAGTGGAAAGTGTGCGCGCGCGCGCGCGCGTGTGTGTGTGTGTGTGTGTGTGTGTGTGTGTGTGTGTGTGTGTGTGTGAAATTAGCCGCGGTGTCCGCGACTCCGGGCGTGGCCGAGGTGATCGCGCCCGTGGGCCGCGGGCCGCACTGCGGTACACTGTAGGGACATTTACGGGACAGTAAAAGAGTAAATAAAACACAGCAAAACCTGCCGCGACGGCGCCGCGGCCAGGACCAACGCGCCGCGCGACCTGAGACACGAGGCGTCCTTTGTCCCCGCGTCCCGCCGCGTCCCGCGTGGCTCGCAGCAGCACAGTCACATCTTTCGCGCGCGCTTGTCCCTGTTTTTGTTTTATTTTTGGCGGGAAAAATGGTGAGTCGCGACATCTCTATAATGCTCCCCCCTCTCTGCCGCCACCGTCGCCGCGCTTTCCGGGCAGGGTACGCCCCGGTACGCCCGGTACACCGTACAACCGCAGGGGCCCTCGGCATTACCGCCACTATGTCGGCGACCGCCGGAAAACACGCGCAGGTAATAGAGAGTTACCGGACACTGGGGACCAGCCGGGTGGGGCGGGGTGGGGCGGGCCGCCGTGCGGTGGGGGCGGCGGGGGCGGCCACCCCTCCACTGCCTCTTTCTACATCCGGTGGCGAGGCGGCGCAGGTGCGGGGACAGCTTCCGCTTCCTCCTTGCGGCGTTCTCTTTCTCCTCTCTCTCTCTCTCTCTCTCTCTCTCTCTCTCTCTCTCTCTCTCTCTCTCTCTCTCTCTCTCTCGCGGCCAATCTTGTTGCAGCCGCGGCACTCCGCCGCCGATGAGGTCCACTCTGGGCGAGTGGATCCGCTTCCTTCCCATTATCTCGGGCCTTTATTTTGCTCGACACCTGTAGAGCACGATGCTACTTCCCCTGCAGGCGCGTCGGACGCTCCGTGTCTCAGCCGTTAACCAGCCGTTAATCATCCGCTAATCACGCTAATGGCCGTTAATTAGCGTTGCGAATGTGAATGTGACTGTGAATGATGCGGCCCCGCGAGCCCGACCGATGAACTCCAATCCGAATCCCGGTATGGAAAAAAGGGGTCGGCCACGCGTGGCGCAGCGCTCCAATCTCATTGGGAATTCCGCTCCGCCTCGGCAGCAGGCCGAGCGTCGTTTTCGTCGCTCTGTCTCTCTCGCACTCCCGGGCCGTTCTGACGGGTGCGAGAGAGACAGAGCGACGAAAACGACTCTCGGAGTCAGTTCGCAGAGGAATGTGGACCGCGCGTGTATCTGCGCGTGGGATACACACTGCGTGTCCGCCGCGCGGCGCGCGGACTTTAAAAATTCAATACTTGGCAGGGAGGAAAAACGCCGGTGAAAGTGACTGGACACTGTAATAATGCCGTTAGCAGGGAAGGTCGCGGGGAGATAGATTTATCGGCCGTTATTTACAGGTGGGATATTTTATTAGAGGATCGGCCCGACGGGGGCCTCGGTGCTCCACGCGCCGCACCGCCACCGCCTCGACGGCCACCTTCCCCCGACGCGTGGAGGGCTCTCCTCCCCTCGGCCTTGGCCACGCGCGCCTCATTATGACCGGGGGTCATCTTCGGCCACGCCCTGTCGCTCTGTCTCCCACGCACTCACGGTGCGGACCGTGGGTGTGTGACAGAGACAACACGACAACACGCCGTGGAGCAGTCAGTCTCCTGACTGCATCAGCCGATGTAACGTGGCTCCTGTGATCGGGGAGCTGCTAGCTGCTCAGCCCTCCGTCCACGCTCGGACTTCTCTTGACCAGCAGGCCGGGATGAAACCCCTTGCCTTCAAAGGGAAAATTCTAAACAAAGCACAAAAAAAACAAAGTCATACGAACCTTTTGAATTGTTAAGGCGGTGCGGACAGCATCACAGGGACAGTGCGTTTGGAAAGGGGACTCTCACTCCGATACGACCTTTGCGCGTTGTTCGTTTCCGATGATGGCTGACGGTGGACGCGTGTGTGACGGAAATTTGCTCCTTTTTTCGATTTTTATTCTTTTCTTTTCTTTTTTTTTTCTCCGCCGTGCCCCGCAACAGGCGTGCCGGCCACGCAAGAGGGTCGTTAAGAAATAACAGTAAACATGGCGGAGTGCGCCATGATTTTTCATTCCCCTCGCACGCGGGCAATCTCTCATTCCCTCGCCACCGGGCGGGGCGGGGCGGGGCGGGGCGGGGCGGGGAGGCGCGTCCGTCCACGCAACAGGCCGGGCGGGGCGCGGGCCAGCCCTCGTGGCGTATAGCCCCAGCCAGCGGAGTTTGTTTGGGCGATTTAGCCAGTTTTACTAGTCGGGACTTCTAATCGACCGACATAATCTGGACAAGCGCTTTGGCGGTGGGGCCTCGTGGGCCGAAGGCTTAGCGAGGAAAGGGGGAGAGGGGGGGGGGGGTGACAAACCGACGAACAGAAGATAGACAGATGGACAGGCAGAGAGCCGACTGTGGACCAAGGGTAGGATCTTACCATCCTTTATTCCAAGGAACCACCCCAAGCACTCGCACACACACACACACGCACACACACACACACACGCACACACACACACACACACACACAGAGAATGGTCATCCGCTAGAATGGGCGACCCCCCTTCCCTCCCTTCGGCAGTGAATTCTATACGCAACGCAGAGTCAGCTTCCCTTCTGTTTTCCATGTGTGAATAATATATCAGCATCATTTTATACATACACACCGATACGCCGGGCGTCGCTGCGCCCTGGCTGCGCCGATGCAGTGTGGGTGCAAAGCATTTGCAAAGCCCGGTGGCCTCAATGACCTAAAAAATAAATGAAAAAAAAAATTGTTTGTAGCGCGCGTTTTTGAACGCAACTTTGCGAGCAATAGCTCCAGCTTGACCTGAAAGCGTGTACTCTGGCGTGCTACTGCGAGTGTAGGTTGCGAGTCTGCTAGACGGCAGTGCAAACTGGGGCGCGCGTCACGGACGTCACGCGTGCCGTCACGGTGTCTCTTCTGTTTTCCCGGGGCGGGTTCTGTCTCTCTCGCACACGCGGGCCGCGCCGTGGCCGCGGCGGCGCGAGAGAGACAGAGCGATGGCCTGGAGCTGGAAACGGCTGGAACTTGGAAACACGGCGGGGCGCATCAATGATGCACGCGGACAACCCGTTGCATGTCACATTAGTGAGACAGAGAGAGAGACGACGAGACAACGCACAGACGGAGCAGCGCGGAGCCACCGAGTCGCGCCGCGCCAGCAGTCGTTGTCAAGTCTATATGACCTTTGCCAGTCGGCGGAGTCCGCCAGGCACAGCGATGCGCGCAGACAACACAGTGTGCCAACACAGCCACCGCAGGTGGACAGACACTCGCTGATCAAAGCGGACAGAGAGAGGAACAAATCAACTCCAAATTGTTTAGAGTGTACTCGCGCTGCCCGGGGCTTACGGTGGCGTGGTTGGGGATGATGACGCCCGGGTGGCGATAGGGTCACAGCCGGCCCGTCCCGCGGAGTCGTTCCGGCGCTCCGTCTCTCTCGCACCCCTCCGCGGCGCCCTTCGAGCGCGAGAGAGACAGGGCGGCGAAACGGCTGTTCGGAATCAGTCCGCAGCTTCGGGCAACTCTTCCCTGGCCGCACGTTTGGGGTCCGGTAATAGTCCACGGGAGGAATGGGGGCCTCGTGTTGGGAGGAAGCGCCCTAACACTCACACACACACACACACACACACACACACACACACACACACACACACACACACACACACACACACACACACACACACACACACACACACACACACACACACACACACACACACACACACACACACACACACACACACACACACACACACACACACACAGTATTTAGCGGGCCGCCTTTACGGTCGTTCCACTGCTTCGCGAGCTTCGGCCCTGCCGGGCCCTGCACTGCACAAGTTTGGCCATGAATACGACAACGTATGTACTGCTTGCGTGTCGCTCCGAGTGCGAGGCCGTAGTGCGTCCCGGGGTGGCGGCGATTTCTAGTGTGTGTACACTGCACCAGGTTCGCGACTGGTTTTGCACTGTTTAATCCAGAGCTCGTTTTCAAAGTGCTGCTGCTGCTGCCCGGACCGAACGGTCGAGGGTCCCGATGGGGTTGCGAGGCGGCCCGCGTCCTTTCTGGTGCGCGCTGCCCGTCGCCCCGGCCGGGCCGCGTTTCCATTCATATTAAATTAGCAATCATTAATGCCGCCCCATGCAGCCACTTGCAGTGTGTTTGCCCCGTGGAAATTGGTATCGCATTTCCGAATCTTAACGACGCGTGCGCGCCCAGGACGCATGTTGCGCGACTGTACTGACAGTGTGGGCGCCGCTGGCGTCGGTGTATGGTTTCCAAAGATGGCAGCGTGGCCACAGGACGCAGAAGGCGGTGCTGCTGAGAGCGGCTTCATTAATACACCCGTTAAAAGACAATTTTTCTCTCAATTTCTAAATTTATTTCAAGGTGTTACCGAAAAAATAACACTAATTTTTATGTTCTTAAATTATATTTTTTATTATCAGTGGGCGTGTATTTGTTGCGGTAGAAATTCACCTGCTGCTGTTGTTGAGAAATGCGCCGACGAAACCAAAGTACGCGTCACAGTTTAAGGCGTGGCGAAGCCTTTTATTTAGGAACAAGCTTCCCCAGTAAACGCATTAAGGCGCCAGTCTGTTCTGTCACTGGAGAGGCGGCTGGCACTCGGCTCGCGCTACCCCACGCCGCGGCCCTTCGACGTGGAGTATCTGCGGTCGCTACTCCGAGCCGCCGCGCGGCCGGGGCGCTGGGCGCACGGGGTATCGACGAGGCCTGTTGCACTGCTATCGCGGCCTTTCCAATTAACCGTCTCCACGGCCCGGGGTCGACCCGGGGTCAATTCCCCAATTAAGTCCTTCGGGTGCTGTAGGCGACGGCGAGGATGGCGTCGGCTAGAGCGCCCGGGCGAACAGGTACCAGTCGTCCGGGTGGACGAGCTCCGAGGGGTCGTCGGTGGCCGGCAGCTCGGGCACCTCGTCCATGGCGCGGCACAGGTGCGGCTCGTGGGGCGGCCGCTTGGCCCAGTCCAGGTCGGCGTCGTGGTGCAGGTGGAGCCACGCCTGCAGCAGGCGCGCGTCGCGGTGCGCCACGATGACCCCCGGGTCCGAGGTCGGCGCGGACGCCTCGGCGCACTCCAGCCGGCGGTAGGGCGTGGCGTCGTCCTGCAGGTACACGGTCCTGGGCACGTACATCCCGCCGTGCTTCCTGTGGGCAGACAGCCAGCCTCACAGTCTCGCTTTGCCTCCCCTCGCCGCGGGTCCTTCGAGGAGGGTTCCTACATGAGCACGCGCAGCGCGGTGACGCGGTGCAGGCTGTCCTTGTCGCGGAAGGGCATGCCGAAGACATGCAGCGACCGCGGCCGCCGCACCACGCGGATACGCCGGCCCTCTTGTCGGAGAAGGCGGTGCCACGGCGCGCCGCTCAGCTCCGCGCGGTCCGTATGCACCATCACCGTGCAGCCGGGCTGCGTCCTGGAACACCAAGCTGTCAGACAGCAAACCAAGCTGGGCGACGTCCGGTGGCGTCCACCAACCTGAGCGCCGCGCTGATGCAGGCGGCGTCCTCGGGCGCGACGAGCTCGCTGCCGTCGCCCACACGGACGAAGTGGACGAGGTTGGGCACGAGCAGGGCGCCGTCAGGCTCCACGGTGTTGTTGAAGCCGACGAAGCGGTCCGGCACGCTGGCCAGGATCCTGGACTCGCACGGAATGTACCTGTGCAGCAGAGGCCAGTCAGCGACTCCCTCTTCACCCAGAGGTACTACTTCAGCCTTAAACACGTGCCTTGGGAACAGCGTCAAGAACTTGAGGTGCTGGTTGGAGTACCAGAGGATCACGAGACAGAGGAGGAAAAGAAGGAAGCATCTGTCAGGCGATGTCCCGCACTTCCTAGAACCACAAACAGCGAAGGCGGCTATGGGCGCGGCCTAACCTGCACTATATTTGCTTTTGCGTGTGTCATTTCCGGTTATTGACTCTCGCAGACAGCTACAACCAACTTAAGAATAATGCAAAACAATCCACGCCTTCTGGTTTCACAAAAAATTAAACTTACTCTAATTTGTACAAAAATATTCACACAACAGTCGCCCTGACTAGACTTAACGGGTCTAAGTTGACTCTGTTCAGTTCATAGCAGTATAAATCCTATGCACGCGTCCTCTTCAGTCCACCTGACACCAGAAAAATGGTAGAGCCGAAATAGGCTGATGGTAGTTCATTGGGCGCGGCACAGGCTGGGAAGCACGGCCTGAGCCAGCTGCAAAACGGTGACGTTGTAGCTGCAGATGTTGTCCTCGGTGAAGTTCACCGGGTAGCTGAGGCCGAGCTTCTGGGCGTCGCGTGCGAGCGGTGCGGTGTGGCGCTCGGCCAGGGGCACGGCCAGCATGCCCTGCCGCCGCCAAGCCTGCAGGCCCCTGCGCAGGTACAGCACGTCGGGGACGTCCTTGCCGACGCCCAGGCGCACGGGCACGCGGTGCACCAGCTCGGGGCGCGCGTGCAGGATGACCTGCGTGGGCCGCGTCGCCGCGTTGTAGTCCCTCAGCGAGCCCACGTAGGCGCCGCGGTACGACTCGAGCCACGCGCGGAGGAAACGGGCCTCCTCGTGCGCCACCAGCACCTGCAAAGGTCCACGTCCCGGGTTCAACCACCAGCCCGCAACTTGTCCCCTCGAGGTTCGTGAGACCCTCGCTCACCTGGCGGCCGATGTCGGCGCCCTCGGGCCAGCCGACGCTCATCTCGAAGCGGCGCAGCGGGTCCAGGCTGTCCAGCAGGTACACGTCGTTGTCCAGGAAGATGCCGCCGTAGTTCTGCAGGATCACGATGCGCTGCACGTCCGCGGCGTGCTGCTTGCCGTGCACCGGGTCCAGCGGCTGCCCCAGCACGTCCTTCAAGGGTGACGTCGGCACCAGCTGGATCGCCTCGCGGAGCCCTGGCGTCGCCTGCAAGCAGACGGTCGGTGAGCCAGAGTGGTGTGTGGCGGCCCGTGAGTATGGGGCACCTATACTACTGATGGCATCCCGTGAGTATGAGGCACCTATACTACTGATGGCATCCCGTGAGTATGAGGCACCTATACTACTGACAAAATTCGTCTGCTCCGATAGCTAGCGGATAGCCTAACGTACCTGCAGACGCATCCAGTACTCGCCCCGGAAGTCGAGCAAGTCCGAGTGGAACATGAGCCAGTCGGGCTGCTGCCGCTCCCAGGCCGCCAGCGCGCACACGTACTCCAGGAAGGTGAACTCGGGCTGCCCCATGCGCAGGAAGTGCACGATGTTCGGCACGATCAGCTCCAGAGAGGACGGCGGCAGCGGGGACGGCGCCGACGCCGAGAACGCGCCGGACACGTTGTCAAAGCCCTCCACCGACGAAACACGCATTCGTCAGTCCAATTGTTCCAACGGCATATTTCTTTTTTGGTTGATAGATACAAGTGCAACCATCACGACTATTTACAGAATCAAACATGTCACGCCACCCAAAAAACATGCGATCATATCAGTACAGTACGATCCGCGACACAAGTGTGCACCATGACTCACGCATAAGAATAGTGAGTCAGAGTCGTCAGGGCTGCCCCGCTTCGTCCCCAGAGCCTACCTCGAAGTCGCTGGCCACGTCGAGGACCTCGTCGTAGTCCCAGAGGAAGGACCAACACGCCTCGCGCCGCAGAGGCGTGGGGCCCTCCAAGAACACCGAGAGCGCGATCAGCAGCGCCAGCCCCGCCAGCGGCGTCCACAACCACAGCCAGCGGACCCTGGGGGCGAAGCAGGGGTGCATGACGTCACCAACGAGCTCATGTTTACAATATTTAAACTTACGTAACTAATAACAAGTTTGAGAGAACATGAACCTTATAGACAACAGAGTACATCATACAGTTACAGTGTATAAAATGCATTCCATCATAACAATAATCCGGTAGAGTCAGTCAATCTCATTTCATTTAAAGGGTTGACAATATTGGAACTTCATTACACATACGAACGTCGCTTACAGTAGATCCATAAATTTTACAAAACTTTAAGGACACCCTTCCCTCAGAATCCAGACTCATCCAAGAACCACAGCGACCCAAACAGGGCTGAGGAGTTACAGTGTACTTACGTTCGGCCACCCGGAGGCGCCTTGCCGTCCCTGTCGCGGTGCTTCATGGCGACGAGGACTGCGTCGACGGCGTCCTCGCTGTCCCGGTGCCGGTGCAGCACTGGATGGGACGGGGACGCACGCAACGGAGAGAGTTGGGCAGATAAGGACTCGATAGCGTCGGGGATGTGTAACTTCGGTCGATAAGGAAGGACTCAGCGCCGGCGAGGCAGGCGACCATGGAGGTGGGCGACACACAGGACTCTAGCCGGCGCCCAGCGGGCCGCAGCGGGCCCAGCCAGGCCGTGCAGCGGTGCCGCGACGCCGCGACGCCTCCGACGCCAGTGTCTGGTGTGTTTGTCTGGGCTCTGGGCCGCCGGCCGGCGAGGCAAGCCGAGCGTGGCGGCGTGGTGGCCTTACCGCCCCCGCCCCCCTCCCCTGCCCCCGCCACGCCACCCCGCTGTCACTTAGCTTCCCCCACAATTTGGCTGTCCGATGCGTCGAGTTGTTTATCAAAGGCCCTCATGGCATAACTATTATTATCGCACCTGGGGGGTCTAGTCGTAAAGCCCCTCGATCGACGAATCGACGTCACTTGCTCTCCGTGCAGTGGAGCGAGCAGAGTAACCTTAATCCATCAAGACGCGACTAAGCGTTGCATTGCCACCGAGTTCGTCGATAGAGGGTCCCGCGAGCAAGGTCTGGAACGTCGTTGGGACTTTGTCGGAAGGCAGAGGGGCTGTGACAAGGTAAAGGGAAAATAAATGATGGTTCCATTTTTCGATTTTATATTTTAACCTTAAAAAACTTAATGCTACGGTGCACTTCATTCCTTTTCCAGTCTCAGTACAAATTTGTTATACCCGTGTCACAGGTACCAAATCAAATCACGTGTTAGGCTCGTTGCTTGTCCTGTTTCGGTCGCGCGGCCGTCACCGCCAAAGTGTTCAACGGTGCAATCAGGTCCTTGACCCACTACGCCTTGCTCACGTTGCTGATGACGACAGGCGGCGGGGCGGTGCGCACCTTGGCGTACACGTCGGTGTAGCGGCTGCGCCAATGCAGCAGCACGTACCAGCCCGCCAGGACGCCGGCGAGGAGGTTGGCGGCCCCGGACCCCGTCAGGATGACGCTGAGAAGGGACTCGACCTCGGGGCAGCTCAGGTCGGGGTACACGTGCCGTACCGTGCCCCACCAGATGGCCCACGATCGCTCCGGGTCCTGGTGACAAAAACAGATAGTTACATCGGAGAGCCCTCGCCTCTACGCGGAGTTCCGCGGCGTCCTGAAGCACTCGCCTTGTGCGCGGGCTCGCAGGTGCAGGTGGCGTTGACGACCTGCTTGGCGGGCTCGCACGCGGACCCCCACAGCGACACGACGTGCAGCAGCGCGAAGGCCGAGGCGCACAGCGCGGCCAGGGCGGCCAGGGCGGCCAGCGACACGCTCAGCACCTGCGCGACGACAGTCAGAATACACGCAAGCTCCTCCTTGTTGTTCATGGTTTTACCGTTCGCACTTTTACCTTGAAGCTGAACATGCAGCACGAGTAGGGCCGGCCGGGGTAGTCCTTCCTGCAGCAGCCCAACAGCACGAGGCCAAGCAGACCGGCAGCCACAAGCTGCAAAAGCGGCGGCGTGTTGCTAACGCGTCCAACGAAACTCACTGCGCAGGTTGTCTGCGGCGCTACTCACCGGCGGCCCGCTGTACACGGGGTTGTCCCTGGCGGGGAGGTTGGGCGCCCACAGCAGCAGCCACACCGCCACGGCCGTCACCAAGGCCCCCAGGAGGCACACCAGGGCGGACAGCGCGGTGCCCAGACGCCGCCGTCGCAGGACTCCAGGCTGGTACTTGTGCGGAACTGCAACACATGCGGCGTCTCTGTCAGTTGGGATGCCTAGCGTCGGGCGCTCGCGTCTGGAAGCGTGTCCGTTGGGTTGCCGCCCCGCAGGCGCTCTGCCGGCAGTCGATTGGGCTGCCTACCCAGACGGCGCTCGGGCAGAGGGCGACCTGTTGAGTGGGGACGTCGCCCCATCGTAGCAATTCGACGCCTCAGCAGGGGGCCCTCTGTCTCCACGTCTCTCGGGCGAATAATTGTTGCGAATTGCCGGCAAGCCAGTGGGGTGAAAAACCTTTGCAACTGCATGCTTCGCGGTGCTTCGCGGTGCCTTGCCATGCACGCCTCGGCGCGCTGGCACGCGGCGACGCGGAAGCCATTACGACGGGGCAATGAGGTCCCCGTCCACGCGGCCACGCGTCCACGACGGCGGCCTTAACTGCATGCAGGGAGATGAGCCTCGCGGCGGTCATGGGGGCCACGCCCCACTGGCACACTTGGCGTCCGGGACGGTCCGGGAGGAGGGGAGGGGGCCGTGCACGTACCTCTGCCCTCCCTGGTCATGACGATCATCCTGGAGTGGCGCAGCGAGGACCTGGTGGGCGCGTGCCGCGACGCGAAGCCCACGGCGGCCATGTTCTGCGGCACGGTGGTGCTCAGGCAGTTGGCCTGCGACGGCGTGCGCGAGCGCTCCGTCAGCGCCACGTTGACGTGGTTCACGGCGTTGAGGTTGCCGACGGAGGAAGCGCCGCCGCGCACCAGGGGCTGCTGCTGGTAGTTGGCGGTGGCGCCGGGGCCGCCGGAGTGGCCGTTGGAGCCGTTGGAGCCGTTGGGCTGCTTCAGGTTGTCGTACAGGCTGACCGGGCGCGGCAGGGCGCGCGGCGCCGCTGCTTGCCGCGGCTGTTCTTGTTGTGGAGGAGGCTGCTGCCGCCGGTGCACGACAACCCTCGGCGTGGGCGTCTCCATTGTGAAGCAGCCCCACGCCTCACAGCGGCGACGGCGGCGACGGCGGCGACAGCGGACTCAGGGGCGCGGCGTCGAACCCGGGACTTCGAAGCAGCGGACGCCAGGGCCGGGCATCACGCCGCGCGCTCCGAGGACCACGGACGACGGGGAAGTCCTGCGGCCTGCGGGGCAAGACAGAGGCCGACGGCGTGGTGAAGACCAGGACAAATACCGCGCGCCTCCCTCGCTCTGATCGGTTCCCCTCTCCATTTCACTTTCACACACGGGCTGGATGTGGGTATGCACCTGCTATATTTAGGCGCAATGCGCCAGGGGCAGCGGCGGCCACGGTGGCCACGGCGGCCACGTGCTCGGGGCGGAAGGAGGAAAGAGGGGGCGTGGCCTACACTGCTGGAAAGGGGTAAAGACTTCGGGGAATGTTGTCCGCAGTGTACCGCCGGATCTTGATTTTATGCCCTTGCCCTTGGCGTGCTCTATCGCTCTATAAAGCGCGCCGACGCCGGACTCGGCTCGGCCGGCCGGGGCTCCAGCCACGCTCCAGTCGAATGGAACGGCGCCCCTCCCCCCTCCAGTTCTCGTCTCTGTCGTCTCAGCGATCCCACGCAGCGAAAGCAATACGAAATCATAGTCTTCCCGGAGGGGGGAAAATTAAAATGAAATTAGATCGCCAACGTCTCGTCTGCGAATTGGCACCCGAGTTGCAGCCGATCGCCACCAGATGGCGCTGGCGGCGCGAAGCAGCGAAGCCACATTAGCTGGCGCGTATCTGTTCACCCGATCGCGGCACTGTAGTCTAATTCGTCGCTCTGTCTCTCTCGCGCCCCTCCGCGGCACCCCTGTGAGTGTGAGAGAGACGGAGCGTCGAATGAATGAGGCGGCCTGTCCCGTCGTGCTCCAGAGCAGCCGCAGCGTGAACGGGCCGGGCCCCCGGTATGGCCGGTATGCGCCATGAGAGAGACAGAGGGGCGAGACGAGCCGCCCGCCGTGCATAGCAATGAGTCTCTCCATCTCTCTCCCAAGTTTTCCAAAGGAATTCGCGGGCCCATTGAACGCCGTGCCAAATGCCAATTGCGCTGCGGCGCCGGCACACTTTTACGGTTTTGGCGCGGCGCGCGCAGTTTCCGTCCCGCGACGTGATTGGCCGAGGGACGCCGGCCAATCAGGCACGCAGGCTGTCTCTCTCGCACTCCAGGTGGCCGCTGGTGCCCGCAGGCGTGCGAGAGAGACAGGGCGACGCCGCCGCTCCTACGCGACAGTGCGCCGCCTTATTGCGACGGGAAAATGAAGTGCATCGTCGAACCGCTCCACGAGGCTGTTTAGAATTCATCGCCGCGGTCCCTCGGCGCGCGGCGCGCGTGGTGTCCGCTTCCGGCACTGCACTGGTAGGCGCCCAAAGCCGAAATAAAGCGCGTGTGCCAGTCAGAGCCACACCCTGCCAGAAACAAAGTCGCCCCATGCACCGCGCGGCCTTCAAAGCGTAAACTGGATCGAAGCGTTTGCTCCCGTGCGCCAGAGTGTGTATGTGTGAGAGCGAGTGTGTGTGAGTGTTTGCTCCCACTGTGCAAACACATGCCTGTAAAGGCCGCGCGCGCGGAGAGTCAACAGCGGGGGACTGCACACCAGTGTGGTGGTGTTGTTATGAGGGAGGGTACCCGTGTCCAATCTGCACCGCTTAACGCTCGAATTAGTAAGTAAAAACGAGAAGAAAGTGTATTGTTGTCGTTTTGTTTTTGTTTTACGCTGAAACCGGTGGTGCGGCCAGGGCCCCTAGATGGGCAGCAGCAGGACTCGCTGTGCTATTTATTTCGCAGACGTGACTCCACCTGACCCGCGAGAGACAGCAACAACAACAGCCACTCATGTGTGCGGCTCTTGTTCTTGTTGTTGACGAGCCAAGGTCGCCTTGCGAGCGCGAAATCTGTTTGAATTTGCCGGCCGTCACGACTGTACTTCCGGTCGGACTGTGACAAGGCGGTGGCGCCAGGGCCGCCCCGGCGCCAGACGGGGTGCGGCAGCACGGCCAGCACGCCGTCGGGAAGCACAACAGGTGTCCATTGTCACGGACGAAAAGAGCAGCCGAACTGTTGCTCTTCCCAGGCGCCTTTTCGGAGACCAGAGGAAGCCGTCGCTCAAAAAGAAGTCAAATGGGACAGTTTGTCTTTCGGGAGGTCAAATGGGGCAGTCGTGAGACGGGGCCGGGCCGCAGTCAAACGGGCAACAACCCCAGCGCCCCAGCCAAACAAACGGCCCTACGCCCAGCCTACGCCTTCCTAGAACTGCGATTCCCACTTTACGCTGACTTTATTCCACAGGCTAGTTACGCGGCGCGTTTGTGGGGGGTAAACAGAAGAGTCACTGCCGCCGTTTTTGACTGCCGAAAGGCGAGTGGAGGGGGAGTCACATCCGGGGCAGCGGGCCGCAGGAAACGGACCGATATAGGACAGAAACAAAAGCCGGTGGGGCTTCCCCGGCGCCAGTGCGCCAGTAGTAGTGGGATTGCAGTGGGGGCGCCGCCGCCGCCGCGTCGCGCGCGTTCGGAAAGACGCCGAACGATTATTGGAAAAAGTCGATCCGAGTTCTCTTTCTTTTGTTCCTCCCCTTTTTTTGCGAGGTCAGCTCGTGCTTGACGCTGCTGTCTTTTTGCCGCGCGCTCTCGCTAAAGATAACGACGACGGCTTCGCGACGGTTGGTAAAAGTACGGACCGTGACGATGACGACGACGAACGGAGAAGTATTCACACCTTGAGACGGCCGCGCGTCCCTCGTCCGTCATCATCACCGCGACGCAGCCTCGCTCCGCGGCCGCGCCGGCCGGCCGGGCCATTTGGAGGATTAGAGAGTAATGGTTTGGAGAGACGACAAAACGCAACGAGCAGTGGAGGAGACGCGTTCCGTCGCCTCATTCTCCGCGCCGCCGGACAGTGTTTTCGTCGCTCCGTCTCTCTCGCACTCACAGAGCGCGCTGTCCAGACTCCGGCTGCTGGCCGAGCGAAAGGGGCGTATGTATGAAAAAGGAATGCCCCGCCCGGCTACGCCCCGCGCGGTGCCGGCAATACCGAGGCAATGCCTTGCCGCCCTTCCTCCCTTCGCCCCGCAGCGCACGCTCGGCTCGGCGAGGGCCTGCAGGGCCTGCAAGGGGATTAACGGGAACAACGGCCGACGGGCATAGCAGACGGGCGCAAGGGGTCATCGCGTCGCATGGTATGCACGGCCATACACCTTCGTACGCCTCTCTCTCTCTCTCTCTCTCTCTCTCTCTCTCTCTCTCTCTCTCTCTCTCTCTCTCTCTCTCTCTCTCTCTCTCTCTCTCTCTCTCTCTCTCTCTCTCTCTCGGTATGGACTTCCCCGCCCGCGGCATTTCTCGGTCGAAACGAAGAAAGACGTTGGACACGAAAGACGAGACGCGGCACCTGCTTCCGCCCGGACATCGCCATGCCGCCGTGCCACCTGCTTTGCCCCGGCGAAGCGAAACGCCTTTCAAACGCCCCTCTCACCTCAAAAAGCGTCCGTACACTCCGCGCCAAAACCGCAGCACGTCGAGCGATTCGCAAGGGAGACGCCGCCGTGGGACGAGACACTGTCGGACGGCCTGCCTACACGCGACGATCGGTGTAGTAGTGGTACAGACCTCGAAGGAAGAAGACAATGTAATATCCAAGCTGGGGCCTTGTTGGACACTGTAAACTGAGGGGCCTGTGCGGCCGTAAGTCCGTCCCTGGTTCCAGCACAACACTGTCACCGTCAGCGGCGCGGCTTTGGCGCCATGGCGCTGCTGCACTCGCGGACGCCGGCCGCCGCCGTGCACTGCCGTGGCGCCGCGGGGGGAGAACTGGCTGGAACTGCACTGGACTTGGGACACCACACTGGGAGAGCGCGGGGCCGCGCGTGGCGCACTCTAGCGGGCGCGGCGGCGAGGTACTCTACTCCGCGCGGCAGTCCGGCACCGCCTGGCTCTGCCCGGCTTGCGGGCTGAAGACTGAATGGTGGTGGAGGGCGGAGAGCGGCGGAGAGGAGACGGGGACGGGAGCCACTGAACTGCGGCGGAAGGGGCGGGGGGTCCAGACGGGGGCCGGGGAAAGGGGAGGGGGGGGGGGGGGCGCCACAGCATAGTTGCAGCACGCGGTGCGCGCGGGCGGCGTACGCGCAGCGCTAGGGCCGTTGCGCCTTTGGGCGAGGCAGGCCGGGCAGGCGAGGGGGGCGTCCTTTCTCTTGTCCATTCTCTCCCGCTCCGCGCTGCCGCCTCCCCTCCTGGAGCGGCTCATCCTTGATCTCCTCCATGACGACGATGATAATGACGCAGCGGGGAATCAGGGTCACGTCGCCGGCGTCGCCGCCGCCAACGGGGAACGAATTCGAGCAAGTCGAGGTGCCGCAGTGCTGCTTGGCGGCGGCGGGGAGCTGCGCAGGCTTCCGTGACGGCGGGCAGGGCGGCGTCCTGGCGACGCGTCACGTCGTCTTGGCGGCGCGGCGGCGCGTTGTCGACGACGTCCTAACAGCATTAGCACCGCGCACCTCGTGACATGCGATCTCCTCCTCGACGGCGCGACCGCAAAAAAAGGAGTTTCGATAGAAGCTGTGTTGTACGATGACCTCCGCAGAAATGGCTTTCTCAGTGGTTTGCAGGTTTGTGATGGTGGTCGTCGCGGTCGTTCCCCGCCTCCCCTCTTCGAAGAAGTTGTGGATTCAATTTTCGTGACTGCTTGATGTCTCTGCCGGTGGAAGGGGAACCGGCGGCGTGTCCAGGACGGCGCCGGCAGGCTGCCTTCCCCTCGCACACCCCGGTAGGACGGGTTGCCTCCGTCCCCCTCGCGCTGTCCGTAGGAAGGGTTGCCTACCGCCTTCCTCGCAGGCGCTCTGCACCAAAGGCGGCTGGCGCGGCGGAGGGACTGGCAGACAGACGGACGGACAGGCGGCGGACGGACGGACGCAGAAACCAGCAAGGTGCCACTGAGTGACGCGTGGTCAGTGAGCAGGCCCGCCAAACAAACTGAGTGGCGCTATTTCTGGGCACGCTGCACGCCTGGCCGTCGGATTGAACCACTTGGCCGAGCACGCCAGCAAGGCTCTGGATTCGCATGTCCGACGTGTATGTCTGGGTTCGACTCCCGGTTCCGGCGGTTGTGTTTTCGCGGTCTGCTTACCTCCGTAAAACTGCAGGTAGGTGTCCAGGTCCATGAAGCCGGTCTGCACGGGCAGAGGCAGCAAGTTGGCGGGCGGCTGCAGCGGCAGCGTCGGCGCGATCGGGAGGCCGTCGAAGACGTCCAGGACGCCGCCGACGCCCCCAGCGCCAGAGTCCCACTGGTGTCCGAGGCCGCCGTCCTGATGCCGATCTTCTCCGTCGAGTCCTCGAGCCAAGCGATCTGCCTCCATGGCGGCAACCAGGGTGCCGCAGGCGCGCGCTGTGCGGTCGTGGGTTCGAATACCGGCGTGTGATTTGTTTTTTTCCTGGCGGCCTGGGTGCGCGCGGCCAAGCCAGCCCTCGCGGCGGCAGCGGGCTCTAGAGATCGACTGAAGGCAGCAGGCGTGCACAACTGCTAGGCAAGCACCAAGCACCCCCACGCAGGTCGGCGTAAGGGCTCGGCGGCGGGGCAGATCCTTGCTGCAGGACCTGCAGGACCTACCGCAGTGTGGCACTTCATCGTGTCCTGCCGATCTCACCCACACTCATCTTGGATTTAAATCGACTGCCGAATGGTGGTGTACCCGTCCACGTTCGAGCATCCCACCTTCCGTTTTTGAATCTCAGTTTTATTTATTTTTAAATCGCATTCAAACGCGCTGGGCATGTTTTTGCCGAGACTTACACCAGGTCTCGGTCAGTGCCTCTCGGATTTTCTGCTTTGGGACGCCGAGCCGGCACGCTGGCCGCGGCGGGGCGCGCAGGCCGACTCGTCCGGACAACTCGTTTCCAGCCGATGCAAATCCTAAAGTTTTGCCAAAAAGAAGAAGAGGAAGAAAAGAGAACATTTAAACGGACGCGAGGTGCGAACCGGCAGGACGACTGGAACTGCACTCGCCTGGATCGCGACCCAAACAAAAAGAAAACCGATTCTGCGATTCCTTTTCCGGCGTGCGAGTGTGTGCGTTGTGGGTGTGTGTGCGTGTGCGCGTTGTAGGTGTGTGCACGCACGAGGCCCTTGCCACACACAGCAAGACGCGGCAAGCGCATTTAAAGCAGATCTTGATGAGGATGTATGCGAAATTCTTCCGGGTCGCCTGCAGGAGGTTCGTGGGATCTTCACCCCGGACCGAACGCCCTTGGGCTTGGGCATCGGCTGCGATGCGTCGTCTGCAAGTGCAAACGGAAAGTTTTTAGCAGATGATTTTGAATCGGCTAGCTTTGTCTCTCGATCGCAGTCAGTAGTTGAAAATAGACGTAATTGTATCAAAGTAGGTACCTTGTAGTGGAAAGTGTTGCAGAAGCACTTGTCTTTACAGAATTACTTGTAAATTGCTTTCTTTGCAATTTTTTTATTGTTTTTTTTTAACTACATGTTGAGTGAAAAATTACGGTAACTGTCTACACATGAAGAAAATAAAAACAACAAGAGCTCCAACAATCAGAGGACGAGCCGGTGGTCCTGGAGGGGGGCAAGAAGGGGTGCTTTATAAACTCCGGCGCGCTCCTCCGTGGGTCAGTGCGCCCGAGCTCGCCAAGCCGACACAGTCCCACGATGCGTGCCCTGGTCCTGCTCGTCCTCGCCGTGGTCGCCGCCGTGGCCGCCGCGCCCAAGAACCTGCGTGAGTACTCGCACCAAATTTGAATGGATTCACCGAAAAAAAAACACAACAACTTTGCTGACGAACTACTGTTTTCCTTTCCCCCTCAGCAAGCACATGGAAAAAGTGTGACAGGAAGGACCCGCTCTTCAACGCGTGTCTGCGTGAGGCTATCCATGTGGCGATTCGCGAGCTCAGTGACAAGGGTGAGACTTGTTTTTAATCTTTTATTTCAGCCGCATTTTTTTGTGTTCATTTGCGCTATGTATTTTTTTTTGCAGGCGCGAAGGAGCTGGGCGTGTTTCCCATTGACCCCCTGCGGCTGACCCGCGTGGACATCGCGCAGGGCACGGGGCCCGTGTCCATCGACCTCCACTTCACCGACCTGGACATCTACGGCCTCAAGAGCACCGAGCTGGACAGCGTCGTGTAAGTTTGCGTCGCTGGCAATCACCAGAACCATTTTGATCAGTGAAGCTTTTGCTTTGTGGTAACGCGACCTGCTTGTTGTGCTGTAGTGGCGATTTGGACAAGATCCACTACCACGCGTTCGCGCACATCCCCCAGGGCATCACCCTGAAGGGCCAGTACAAGATCGACGGCAAGGTGCTGGTGCTGCCCATCAAGGGAGAGGGCCCCTGCGAGCTGCATCTGGGTACGACGCCGCAATAATTGCAACGTTCCAGACAACACCTACACCTTTTTCGTGAAGGGAGATGCTGCACTTTTGTTCTTTCTTGCAGAGAACGCGACGGCCCTGGTTGACATCCTCGGGGTGCCGGTCAAGAAGGACGGCGTCACGCACGGCAACATCACGGACTTCATGTTCACGTTCAACACGACGCGCCTGCGAATCAGGCTGGACAACCTGTTCAACGGCAACCAGGACCTCAGTAAGTGGCTGCACCGTCGGTGGCTTGCTTGGCATCTCGCTACCTTCTCATTCAACATTATTATTCTGACTCGCAGGTAACAACATGAACGTGTTCTTGAACGAAAACTGGATGGACATCTTGAACGAACTGAAGCCCGCAATCCAGGACGCCTTCGGCGCTGCGTTCAAAGAGATCACCAGCCGCATCTACTCCAGAGTGCCCTACGACAAGCTCTACGCCTAGTTCCTAGGCGTACAGAACTTTCTTCACTCTTCAGTGTCTCACGAACCACCCAAACTGTAATTTAACGCGTGCCTTAGATAATTGAAAAGAATAAACAAAAGACTCGAAAACTTATTCGCGCGTTGTTCCTTTGTGAGCCACCACTGCTAAGCGCCCGGCGGGTAGGCAACCCATCTGACGTCACGCGGAACGCCTGCGGCCAGCGGTGGCGCGCTCGCGTGGCCGATGGGTGGCCTACCCTCGGTCCCGCAGGCGCGCTCCGACGCCGTCTGTCCGCGGTCTGCGGCTTCTGGGCGTCTTCCAGCGCGGTCCCAAGGCTTCCTCCCCGGGTGGCGAAGGTGGCCGTCGAGGCTGCGGCACGGATGAGGGCGGAAGTCGGCGGCGGCGCACCCCAAAGGTGGCCGTCAGCCGCCGCAAGCCCCCGAAGCCACCGCAGGCCGCGCGGGGCTCTGCACGCTCTGCGCCCTGCTCTCCAGGAAGCGGTTGATCCCGCCGGCGAGCCTCAAAGGCGGGGAGCTTCAGGGGACCGGGAATTTATGCGCTGCACGCGACCTGGGCCCGGGCCCCGCCGCGTCGTCGCGTCGTCGTCGGGGTGCCGGCCAGACGGGAGACGGACGGCCGCCAACTGCAACTGTCGTGGACGTCGGCGACGACGTCGTCAACGGCGACCTTGCCTCACCGCAGGACACGCCGCCAATAGAGGAGAATCTCTGCCCGACTTTCACATTGAACCGTCGTAGTTCAATCTGAATCGAGTTAAGACAGCCCTCGGCACGCGGCTATACCCCCCGCGCTGGGCGGTGTATCGACGCTGGCCTGGAGTCGCTACCGGCGCGGGGTATCGCCAGCTCGGCGCAGAGGCGCCAGGGGTGTGGTGCTCGGACTTACAGTGCGCTGAGTGGTGAGCAAGCGAGCGGTGTGGGCGTTGAGAGTGTATTACCTAAGACGGTTAAACGAAAAAAAAAATCCCCAAAAAAGTTCAAAATTGCTATTAGTGTTGACTTTCTGCGGTCACTGCGCCCTTTCGAAGCCGTTACACCGTTCTCCCTCCACGGGGTGGCGGTCTTTGGGCCTGGCATGCCTTTGCTACGGGAGCAGTGCAGTGGTGAAGTTGGCCGAGTCCAGGCCGCTCCTTCGTGGTGCTCCTCGGAGTCCTCCACCCGCCGCCGCGTCGCCGCAGCGCCGCGTGTTGACGTTGCGTCGGGCGTCGCGAAAAGTGACGAGCGGCCCGGCCGGGAGAAATATGGCATAAAAGGAGCCTCTCTCGCTCTCACGCCTTTCTTGTCGGGGCCGGGGGCGGCCGGGGGCCGGGCGAGGCCGCCGCCAGCGCGCTTTGTGCCGCGGGGTCTCGGGGGTGGAGACCTACTATTATCGCCGTGTTATCATTGCGATGACGGCGTCTGTGTGAGTGCGCGTGTGCGTGTGTGAATGCGCGTGACTGTGTGAGTGACTGTTGTGGATTCGGGACATCATCCGCCAGGAGCTCGACAATGACGAGTAATTCGTCCTGCGACGTCGTCGTCGTCGAGGTCCTTGTGGCGGACGCGGTGAACGCACCTGCTGTCGCCCTCACTGTGAAAAGCGCGTTTTGTCCGCGTTTCTCGGCTTATTATTCGGGGCGAGATCCTTCTTTCTATCATTCCGATTTCGGAGTGAATCGTCGCGCGAGGGCCACTCCACTCGCCAGACGGACCTACTTACGGACGAGAAGGGGAAGGGGGGGGGGGATGCAGTGCCGTGATTGGCCCGGCAGGCGTCACACTGCAGCCCGTCCAATGCCTGCCCAATGGGGCGGTCGGCCGGGCCGAGCGGCTCGCTGGGCAAACAGCGCTGGAAATAGCAAATCCTGTTTTCAATGCAAACATGGCAGCGGCCGATGATGACCAGCCAGTCAGGCGGCGTCTCCACGCTGTCTGCGGGGCGCAGGGCGCAGCGTGGTCCTTGCACGGCCTGGGCTGGGCAGGGCGCCTCCGCGGCAGCCCTGCAAGGACCGACCGCCGTCGGCCCGTCCGACTGGCGGCTGAGTCAGACACGAACCACCAAAGGCCAGAGTGAAGCGACCGTAACAATTTTACCGTTCGAATGGACGAACAAGTCCGTTCTGCTCGCGCGGTTTTCCCGACGTCACCTCGCCTTCCTCTTCTTCCTCTCCTCCTCCTCCCAGTCCTTGTCCACCATCTTGCCGCCAGGGCCGCCAGGGGAGCCTCCCCTCGGCTCGCTCCTCCTCGATCGAGAAGTGGCCTCGTCAACCCCCTGACAGACAGCCTGGGGCTGGCCTCTGCTGCGGCCGAGGCGGTCGAGGCCCTGGAGGCCCTCGAGCTGGAATTGGGGCTGGCCGAGGGCGAGGGGGTGATGATACGTCGACGTCGAACGCCAAATGCCGCGCCCCGGCAGGCCGGCCACTTGAGCCTCCCACCCACGCACACCGCCATGCTGCCACTCGAAACGCTGGCAATTATATAGGAATGCCACTCGCGGGGCGTCCCGGCAGGCCGCGGGGGCGCGAGAGAGACGGAGCGCCGAAGCGCACTGTTCGGGATCAGACCAATACCGGCCCATTCAGCCTGACCGGAATGTTTACTCAGGATGACGACGTCCAGGACGACGGCCAGGACGACGGCCGGGGGGAGGCGCGGGGCGGAGGGAGAGGCACCGTCACCACGCCGATGAAAGGCAAGGAGGCGGGCAGCGGTCGTCCTCGTCTTCTGCTGCTGTTTTGGGATTTCCTGCGGCACTGGGTCAGCCCTGAGCGAGAGAGAGAGAGAGAGAGAGAGAGAGAGAGAGAGAGAGAGAGAGAGAGAGAGAGAGAGAGAGAGAGAGAGAGAGAGAGATGGATGTGGAATAAAGGGCCTTGGTGGTGACGCACAAACTGTGTCGTCTTAATTTTTCTCAATGAAAATCAACCTTCAATGAGAAGACCAAAAATCCACAAAGACCGCTACGTAAAATCGTTTTACTTTTTACCGCCAGCCAGGGAGCTCTCGAGTTAAATGTCTTAACTATTTGCAAAATGCACTAATACTTGTTTTTTTTTTTCGGTGTGGGCCCTTGGCGCGCGTGATTGAATGTGTGTCGTGCGTGCGCCTGTGCAAACAGAGCGCCGCGCATGGACAAGCAGGCGAAGCAGGCGAAGCAGCGGTGCACTCATTCCGAGGAGTCGATTCGCCGCTCCGTCTTTGTCCCACTCACGGGGCCTTCCGAGAGAGAGAGAGAGAGAGAGAGAGAGAGAGAGAGAGAGAGAGAGAGAGAGAGAGAGACTCTTCGAAATCATCCTGTCCTGCCGTCGGCCACCGTTCTGTTGGCTCTCGTCACGATCCCAAGTGACTCATTCATTCACAG